GGAGTCCAGGTGGTTGAGTGTCATATTGTTCCATCTCCTTGCCCTTGGGGGTTGCCTTAGAAGATTTGGAAGTGTGGTTTGAAACTTGTTTACAGGTCTTCTCAACAAATACAGCCTGCTGTGCCTTTGTTGAGGCAATTTTTTGCTCACCCAGTGGTCTTCAATTCTCAGCAAGCCTCCGAGCAGCCTTTTCTCTGCTGCTCACCAGTACACCAATTACTGGGTTCAGAATAGTGGCCTTCTAGATCCGTGAGCTGACCTATTGTCTGTGCAGGCTTCTGGCTGGGGCCTTTGCACATTGGGATGTTATCTAGGTATACCTCTGGCTAGGGCCTGCACTCCTTTGCACCTGTTGTCTGTGAAGGCCTTTGGCTGGGGCTGTGCACCCCAGTCCCTGGTGTCTGACCAGGCTTCTGGCTAGGGTATCTGTGTACTTACTGATGGTATCAGGGAGAGCCTCTGGCTGTTACTTTTGCACAGGTGCAGATCTTTTCCAGGTGGGCTCTTGACTTTGGTTTGTGTGCCCAAGCCACTGGGGTTGGGTAGGTCCCTGGCTGGGGTCTTCCTGCTGTTGTGTCACTCTGGTCCACAGAGCTGCTCATGGGGATCTTTGCACCTTTAGCTGATGGTATGGGGCAGGCCTCTGGCTGATGCTTGTACACTTATGTAGCTCTTTTCCAAGCAGGTCTTTCTTTGGATTGGGCCTGTATGCCTTAGCCTCCGGGGTTGGAGCAGGGCCCTGACTGGGATCTGCCTGTAGCCATGCCACTCTGGTCCACACCAATCTAAGACAGCTTAATTCTATTTTTTTTTGTCACCTTTCCTCCATCATTTAGATCTTCTTTATTTTTCCTCTGTAAAGACTTAAGAGTCTTCTTCTATATATCCATACATGTCTTAGATTTTTATCCCTACATATGTGATATGTTGATGTAAATCTAAATTACATATTATCTCAATTTTATCAGTATTGCTTTACAGAAAAACAAGTGTATTGTTGACTTTGTATCCTGGCTAAACTCACTGATTAATCCTAATAAATTTTGAGTACATAACCATAACATCAATAAATAAAGGCACTGTCTAATCTTTACATTTCATTTCTTTTCTTGCATTATTGTATTAGCTAGGACTTTTGAAACAATAGTGTAAAGAGAACGTGATAAAGGACATTCTTGATCTTTTGTCTCATTAAGAAAGTTCTAAACTGGTGACTGGATAAAGAAAATGTGATTTTTTTTTTAATAAAATGGAGTACTACTCATCCCTAAGGAATGAGAAACTAGACATTTACAGCTAAATGGATGCACACTTAGGCCACACTTTGAAGTGAAATAAATAGGAGATATGTGTAAATACCAAATAATTTCCCTCAGTGTAAACAAAAAATGTGTAACAGATAATGTGGAAAAGGGAAAAAAGGTCCAAAGGAGAAGGGGGAGGGAAAATGGGAGGGGTTAGGGAAAAGAAAGAAGGGAAACAAATAAATATGAGAAAAGGAAAAAAATGTAAAAACAAAAATAAAAATTAACATCCTTCCCTTTAACAGATTAAAAAAAACAAAGAGTACTAACAATGTGTGTGTGTGTGTGTGTGTGTGTGTGTTTTGGTAACAGGATTGAATGCGGGACCTTGCACTTGTGAGGCAGATGGTGGCACCACTGAGCTAAATCCTTGGCCCCAGAATTAACAATTTTAATGGCTTGCCCAAAGTCATTTATCTACCTCTAAGTCTAATGTCTGTGTTCTACTCATTACATAGCTGTTATGATACCAAGCGGTTTTGTATGTAATAAAAATATAGACCCAGGGATTTTTGATTCAAAGAAAGTGACCCAAGTTATTCTAATTATGATTTTCCTTTAAAGATAAAAATCTGGAATAAAATGATATAGTTGTATATTCTTTTTTTTTTTTTTTGGTACTGGGGATCGAACTCGGGTCCTTGAGCTTGCGAGGCAGGCCACCGAACCGCTGAGCTAAATCCACGGCCCCATAGTTGTATATTCTTTAAAAATAAAGTTCTAATACTGCACCATAAAATATGATGTTTGCTGTGGGTTTTGCAGATACCTTTCTTCAGATTACTTAAGTTACTGTTCTTATTCATAACTTGTTCAGAATTTTGACAAAGAACAAATGTTGAATTTCATGAGAAATTGTTTTTAGCATTTGATTTTATTGGTATTTAACACTATCATTTCAGCATTTAGCATATTGTTCTACCCATAATTTTTCCTTTATTCTATTAATATAGTGAATTACACTGATAGGTTTTTTTCAATGTTAAAACTAAACATATTTCCTAAAATAATACAAACTGGATCAAAACATTTTAGTCTTCCAATATATTACAAATTTAATTTAATAATATATTATTTAGGATAATTCATCTACACTCATGAGGGATTAGCTTTAATTTTCTTTTCTTGTCATCTCCACATCAGAGCAATATCAAGGTTATGCTGGCCTTACTATAATAAACTGTAATGAATGTGTCCTTTTTCCTCTATTTCCTAGAAGAGTCTGTAGATGAAATTTTACTTTGACAGTTTTTTTTTTTTCCTAGAACCTCAGAGCTATCTTTTTGTTTTCTTGTAACTTCTTGGTTTCTGTCCAAAATGAAGCACCTGTGCCTCTGCATCCCCTCACAGTACAGCCCCTTCGGTCTGCCCCACTGCAGGCTGCATGGCACAGCCCTCACTCACCACTGCAACCCCAGGATGCTGAGAAAGACGCTGCCTCTGAAGCCAGTGCATCCTGTTGAATTACTGACCAAGCTGGAGGCACCAGAGAAAAAACTTAATCTGTTTAAGCCAATCGTAGAATTGTACCTTTGAAGACATTTTCTGTCTCTCTCACTACTTTTAATATTTTCTCTGATTTTGGTTTTCAGTTACAATGGATACATATAGGTATGGGTTTTCTTTTATTATTAAACTTGTTGAGATTTATAATGTTTCTTACAACTGTGTCTTATGGTTTTTTAAATCACATTTTAGAGATTTCTCAGTCATCTCTTCGAACACTGCTTCTGCAACATTCTTCCTTTCTCATTCTTCTGGGATCCAAATTATTTTTTCAACACATTTTGTACCACATTGAAGCAGAAGATTAAATCTTTTGTACCTTTCTCCCTTTGATAACTGGTTCACATCCTCTCTCCATAAGTTCAAGTAAGCTGTGGGACACGACTGATCAACAGAATGCAGAAACATGATTCTATGCCAGGGTCCAGGTCCATGCCATAGCTGAGTGAGAGTGTGTATTACACTTCCTCTCTCTTCAAATGGCTGCTCTGGGAAAAGACACCTACATATAAGAAGTCCAACTACCCTTAAACTACTGGAGAGTGACAGCAAGAGAGAGAAAAAGAGAGAGGCAAGCAGACAGAGACAGACAGGCAGTGACAGAAAAAGAGGCAGAAACAGAGAGAGAGAGACAAACTGGCCAGCTACAGAAATGCTACTCTTCTCAATGGAGGCATCAGATCTCAGAGTGCAGAAGCTATTCTAGAGGTTTCAACCCCAGGTGATGACATAAAGAAAACTATAGTCCTTGACATGGGCTCAGTGAAGTCATCCCTGTCATCTCTGGCATTTTTTCTCAAATAAGACTAAGATATTGTACAGCACAAGCAAGTTAAATCTGATAGACTCTAAGTGAATTCCTGACTCTCAGAACCATGCACATATAAAAGGTGGTTGTTTATATTGAGAACCTAGGAGTCAATGCTACTCAAAGAATACTCCTCGGTGGAGGTCCTGAGTATTCCTCCTGCACATTGTTATTATGTATTTCAAGAATGAAAAGACTTGACTAGTTTTTACATGGAATATTTTTCTGGGCTATGTTTACAGCTGGCAACTAGAGGGATGAGCGACATCTTTCTTCCATATATAGTTAGAAGTATTATAGTCACAGATCACATTAATATAATCAATGATTGACACATTTCAAGTTAGGATTTATTTCTAAGGCATAGGTGACATTTTGGGGTTCCAACTTGGGCACAGTACTTAGGTTTTACTAACACTAACCCCTCAACCTTAGTGCGCTCTAAAGACATATTTTCTTTCCCTCGTCTTAGGTGCCCATCAAAACTCTGCTCAGCTTATTCACATTTTTTTTTTTTTTAGAATCAGCACAATACTCAGGAAAAGCGTGGCTTTAAACGCTAGGGTCGTCTCTCTCTCTGCCTTTCTGGTATTGATACATTCAAATACATGTCTTTTATATTTTTCCACTTTTCTCATTTTTAGAGTGCTAATTCAAATTTATCCAACTTTATCAAAAGTGAACTCCTCCAAAAACATATTTAATGCATTTACTATTAAGGGGTTAGAAATTCTGCCTTTTCCTTTTCTCTTCATGATGGTCTAGTCACATACAGAATATTTTCTTTTAAAATATACATTCTATCACTATCTTTAAAGGTGACATGTATTTTCAAATAAACCAAAAAGATAACACCTTGTTAACTTTATAAAATACCATTTGCACCAAAACATTTTGTCTGAAGCAGGGAAAACAAACCATTTGTAATGAATCAATGAAAAAAATCTTTTAAAGATTTTCCATTATACTTTTACAATTTCCAAGTTCAGCTCCATCCATGTTCTTACAATTCTGCCTGGAAGGCTTTCCCGTTTACTTTTTGTTTCTCTCAGACCAATCCTTCTTCTTAATTTAAGAATTTAGTGAAGTAATTTCACCATTAAATTAGAGAAGAGAAGAAAAACTTTCAGCTATTAATATTTTAATTATTTCATTATTTACTGATAATTAAACTATGAATATTTTAATACCTTGCCCACCTAATTATCTCTAAACTTTTATTAACATTATTTAAAAATATAGTGTTAAAGGCTTTAAAAAATTCCAACACAATAAAGTTTTTTCTTGTCTTCCTTTTGCCTTAGTAAAACTACATAAGCATATGAAGGCTTGAAGTTTAGTTCTGAAGGTGTGGGAGAAATATTGTGACTACCAACACTTACAGTGAAAAATACGAAAATCAATGTATGGATGAGAGCCTCTTCTTTCTGATTCAAATCCTGCTCGGCTCCTTACGCGGACATCTCCTGGAAGAATAAAAATGTAAATTTAAAAGGCTGTCATTTGTGAAGAAGCTTCCATATGCAAAGGAGACCTATGTGGTATTATTAAAAAAAAACAACAGCCCATAATGATATTAATAACAAGGGGTTCTATTTGAAGGGGTTCACAAATATTCAGTACTGAGTTATAAGGCTAGATAAGAATGATTTTAAAAAAAAACTGTACTTCCACAATAATACTTATTGCGTAGTTTAAAGTGAGGTAAGCCTTAAAGTATAATTCAAGTGTATGATAATCCAACCTAACAAAACATGGAATTCAAAGGGAAATAAAATCTACTTTATAGGAGACAGATAATCCTCAGAACAAAACCTTAAAATACCACAGCAAGAAGTAAATATTAATTAACTGTCTACTCTGTATCTAACATTATATTATGGACTATAAAGGACATGAAAAATAGAAAAATACATCATTTACTTTCAAGCATAAAGTTTACAATTTAATGAATATGCAGGAAATTAAGTTGTTACAGCCTTTGCTATGCCCAGTTTGATTGCATTTCTCTCATCTCACTGTTACTGGTATACTGAAGGTTTTTAAATGGCTTAAAGTTTCACCTAAAGTTTTTATAAGCTCAGTATTATTCTACTCCTACATGTATGCACATGACATAAAGACTTATTTCTCTATATAGCAACATGACTACAGCAGCCATGTATCAGGGACTCCTTTTGTCTTAAAGAAATGGTCTTATTGCATTCTCTAATAAAGTCCAAGCAATTTTAATCTCCATTTTACAGATACAGAAACTGGATTTAAGACATTAAACAGCATGCTCCATGCCACAAAGTTAGTGCAAACTTAGCCCTGGTGGGCCCCAAAACAGCACTGTTTTCATTACATTTTTACAACTTCCAAGTTCATAGCCCCAGTTCTTCAGCCCCATCCTCATACCCTTGCCGTTCTATCTGGAAGGTTCCCCTGGTGCCTTTTGTCTCTCTAAGTAAGAGTATCCCTTCCTTCCAGGCTCATTTCATCTAACATGACTCTATACCACAAATGATTGACCACCTCTTTCATGTGGTGATCCCTCACACTGCAATAAAGGTTTATTGAGCACTTGGATGTGGCAGGCATTGGACATACAGCATTGAACAATATATTAAAAGTCCATGCTCATGAAGTTTATCTTTTCTTCAAATGAGACAAAAATAGAAAATATATATCTTCATTCTATGGAAGATGATAAGAAGTTACATGGAGAAAACTTAAAGGTAAGAGGAACAGGGAGGGTGAAATGGGGAGGGGTGAATTAATCAGTGTGGTCAAGGACATCCCCACTGAAAAGGAAGTGTATGAGGACAAACATGAGGGAAATAAGACAGTGAGCCAAATGTATCAGGAGGAAGAGGTTTCCAAGGATAAAGGACAGCAGGTATAAATACCCTGAGAAATTGGTACAGTTGACAGGTTCACAGATGGGTAAAGAGGCCACTGTGGCAAGAGTCAGGTGAGTGAAAGAATTAATGGAAGGTAAGATCAGAGAGTCAGTACAAACACTGAATACTGGGCCTTTGTGGCCACTGTAACAGCTCTGATTATTACCCTAACATAAAAACCTATCAGAAGATTCTAAACAGAGAAGTAAGATGACTTAACTTAAGCTTAAAAAGATTTACTCTGGGTGTTACAACTAGAATAGACAGATGGACATAATACTAGGTACTTTATAGCCTCATACAACAGACAGGACCAGCTAAGGAACAAATAAATGGGAGTAGCTGTGGTTTAGACTGGAGTGGCAATGATATTAGCCGATGAGATTTTATATATATATGGGAGGGGTACACTAATAGGGTTTAACTGATGAATTAGACATGGGAGTGTGTAAGAAAGAAAAGTAAGGAATGACTGAATTTTTGACCTGACAATTGGAAGAGTAGAGTTCTATCTACTGATACAGCCAAAGACTACCAAACAAAGAGTCTTGGGGAACACAAACATTTTTTAAAAAGATACGCTAAGTTTGAGGAATCCAAACATACCTATATGGAGTAGTTTCAAAAAATTAAAGACAATGGATGATCAAAATGTGTGATGAATTTTAAATTTTAAACAATTTATTACAGCACAAGAACACATTATGGTTAATCTCTCTCACTTTAAACACACCCATCATTCTTGTCATTTTTTGGGGAGACAACACAATCATTTATGTGAAATTTACAAAGTAATGGATACTCCAGCTCATATATTTTGTGAGTTTTATAAGGTGGTAGGACAAGCTTTCAATATTAAAGTTACCTACATTATGATACACTATCAATGAATAATCAGAAATTGAAATCAAAATATTAATAAAAATTACTATGAGAAACTAACTGCATTACATTTCTAATCTGAATTTCTCTATTGACTAATGATGTTGCACATCTTGTCATTTTTTTTTTGAAGCAGTCCTGGAGTTCCTCTTTTGTGTCTTTGTAAGATGTGACCAAAAATATGGTAAATGCTGCCACAAAGTGCCATGCAATGGGAAGGCAGACTCATAAAAACATTATAGTAGAGGGCTGGGGATTTAGCTCAGTGGTGCAGCTGCCTGCCTCATAAGCATAAGGTCCTGAGTTTGATCCCTGGTACCAACCCCCCACTCCCAAAAAACAAAAGAAACAAATAAAAGAAACATTATGGTGTGTTCTTACATTCACCTTATTCACAGGACAGGGCACTGGGCAACTATAGCTCTTCCCCAACAATGACCAAAATGACCATGAAAGGTTAAATGTGTTAAACTAATTTAAGACACTAAGGCACCCATTATAGCACAACTAAAGACACACACGAACTAGGACTTCCAGAACTGCTTTCAAAAATGACAAGAGTGATGGATAAATATATTCAAAGGGAGGGGAATATTTTGAGAGGTATGAATGGCAATGTGTTTTTTATTCTAATAATGTTTTTAAATTTTTAAATTAAAAAAATTTAAACATTCACTGTATTTTTCAATCTTACTACCTATTAGTCTAGCACTATTTTAAGGATAAGAAAATCCTAAACATGTTTGTAGAATGAGATACAAGAGGTAAAGAAGAAAAGGCTGAACATTTATGAGAAAAAAAAGTACTAAAGCAGAACATAATTGAGGCAGATAAGACATCAAAAGTACCTAAAGAGGGAAAAAGGAAGAGCAAAACTGAAACTTTAGGGGAATATTTACACTTAAAAAAACTGAGTTATGTGAAAAATAAAGATGGCTCAATACATTAAAGATGGAAGAATTCTGCACATGAGGAAAGGAGCCAAAAGAGATTCCTCAACAAAAGATGAGTAAATTTGACTACTAGAACCTTAGTATACATGTTTAATAGAATGAATTAAAGTACAAGAGGTCATTGAGTGTGGGATGAAGAGACAGTGTTGGTAAAGAGAGGAAAAGAAAAGTTATACATATATTTACACATTAGTCAACTGAGAACAAACTATCTCCAGAGACTGGTCCATTTGATCAGGCATTTTATGGCCTCATCTTCATCCATGTCAGCACTCATCTCCCTTATTTAGTAACTCTACAAACCTATTTTTAATGAAGAATATTCAAAAGTTGGTTTAAAACTGTGTACTAGTAAGGTGGGCATGTGGCCCACTCCAGTAATCCCAGAACTCTTGGAGGCTGAGGCAGTAGGACTGCAAGCTTGAGCCCAGCCTGGGCAATGTAGTGACTATTTATAGAGATCCTGTATCAAACAAAACAAAATAAAGCAAAAGCACTAACGACAGTGTCCTAGTATTTAAGCCAGAGATTTCTCAATTACTTACAACTTTAAAATGCCCTTCTTTATTCATATCATATTCAACATTGGGTTTTGGACTCTAAGTTTTGATGTAATAGGTTAGTTCTTCTAAGTTAGGAAAAACTACCTAATGAAAGATGAGTCAACCTCAAACAATAACATATGATAACTAGATTTAACTGATAATGATAAAAACTAAATAGTGCTTACCTAGCATACGAATGTATAACGCAGTTTGATCAGAACTGTCATAGGAAATAGCTCCACGTCTCTAGAAAAAAAACATACATTTTAAAACATGACAATATAATGTAACCTAAAATTCAATTCAGCAAACACGCATTTATGATACATTACTTGTGAAGTACTGTGCAAGAGAAGCTGGACAGATAAAAGGAAATTAGATATGGCATCTGCTCTGGAAATGTCTAGTTGAAGGAGAGATAAATACTTCTAATACAATATAAAGTGGTAACTATCATCAAAGTGGATACAGAGTGGAAATGATCTGCTAATGACATACAAACTGACTTTTTCTTCCTCCTTTGTGGTAATGGAGATTAGATCCAGGGCCTTTGCACTGTAACTACATTCCCAGGTCTTTCCTTTCATGTTTTTTTTTTCTCATTAAGTTTATTGATACATTTTAGGTATACAGTACAGTACAGTTACATTAATCATTGTGATCTTGTACCTTTACATGACATGTCTTGGTTCTCATCCACCGCCTCTTTTTTTGAGACAAGGTCTCACGAAGTCACTAAATTGTCCAACCTGGGCTCAAATTTGTGATCCTCCTACCTCAGCCTCCCAGATAGGTGTTCACCACCACACCTGGCTACAATTTGACTTTTAAGGAATTCATAGAAGTTACCAAATGGAAAAGCATGGAAAAGATTAATCTACTGGTTTTCCCACTCTATCTCCTGGCCCCAACACCACTGTTCAAACAGAAGTCAGAGTGAGCATTTCAGCTCCTGCTCAAAATTCTCCATTGCTTCCCTTGCACCTGGAATAAGTTCCAAACTCCAGGTCTGATTTCCAAAGCTTCCTGTGATCTACCTACTGTGCTGTCCTCTGATCCTACCACCTGCTCTCCCCCTTGTGATGCATCTTTGTTGGCCTCCTTGGTTTTCTCAAATGTGCCTAATGTCTGGCCTTCACACTTGCTGTTCCTTTGGATCACTGCAATCATTGCCCTCCTCTTATCTCTTGGGTCTTAGATGAAATGTCTCTTCTCAGACAGACATGCCTGAACTGCCAAATCTAAAGCTGTTCCACAGCTCCATACTTCTGTGTGGCACTCCACTGACATCATCTTGATTGATACTAAAACAGAAGTACTGCAAATACTTATTTGTCCTATTCACTACAGTATACACAGGCCCTAAAACAGCACCTATCTTTAAATAAGTATCTGGTAAGTACATGGCTATTGAATCATTTATAAACAAACTGAAGAATAAATTAAATTAACAACTAATATAATTGATATAAATGGATACATTAATAAAACTGGGAAATACAATTCAGCAAACTTCCCATAGACTCTAAGCTCTGTGGAGGCAAGGACTTTGTTCACCATTGTACTACCAGATCTAGAACACATTCCAACATTCACAACACACAGCCTAGCACAATGATAGTAACCTATAAAAGTAGGTGAATTAAAAGGTCTAAGAATTTTTTAAAAAGCAATAATAAATGAAACTGGCACCATGAGATTAATATATACAATGGAATGATACTGCAAAGAAATGGGGAAAACAAAAGAGAATCTAGAAAAAAATTCAAGAATATACAGTAATTTTGAATATTACAAATATAAGACAAAATGTGTGGAGTAAAATTATTTATTAATAACCACAAAGAAAAATTCTCAACCTCATTCAAAAGAGAAATACACATTAAAGTCATGATTTGTATTTTTTACTATTGGATTAATGATCTTCACAAAAACTGGCACAGGGTTCACAGTCTCTCAAATATTTATAAATCTCAAGGAAAAATAGTTTTAAAATTATAATTATAAAGAAAGTTTAATTTGTTTCAAGTTCTTAGATTTAGTATGCAAAACAATACCCCAGACCTTAAATTATATCCTTAACACAATTTAAGAGAAAAATATCAATTAAAATCTCACATTATTCATGTATTCTTAATTTTAAAGTTCATAAAATATAAGAGAAACACATTTTAATAAAATTCTAACTATCAACATTGTCTCTAAGGATGCTGAGGGACACAGATGCAACAGGGACTTTTCAATGGATAGCTTTGTACCTTTTTATTATTGTAGCAAGTATTGTTATTATATATCACAAAACAAAATTAAAAGTAAAATAAAAAAGTCCTTTACAAAGAAATCTACAAAAAAAAGCATGATCACAAATCCAAAGTTAGTAAAACATACAGAATACATCCCCAGCACCCTGTTTATCATGTCTTTTAACAATAGAATATAGTATCTATGGGCACTACTGCAGCATTTCATGATAAACTATTATGGAGTAAACAGCCCACTGTGATCACTTGATATTAAAAGGCACCACTCACAGCTCTGTTCCAATCCCCTCATTAAGATATTTAGTTTATTAGATTATAGGCCTCCTCTGAACACTGTCATACTAGAGTTAAGCCTTATAGCCTGGAAAGGGCCAATATGGAAAGAAGTATTTCTACCAGCTAAAACAGGCATGTCCAATGCATGGTCCTGGACAGCTAGCAGAGCAGCCCCCTAAGATCATCAATTTGTAACATTATTGTATCATTTTTAGCCATACTTTTTATGACTCAATTGTGTGGTGCTAATGCATGGGCTCTAAGGTAACAACACAATATAGGGGACAGTGACACACACAACCAAATGGGAACCTGTGCATATCATATATTACATATGCTTGTTTATCTTGGTGAGTAAAACACAGTGAATATTATAACAGGTGCATCCCTGTGAAGAAAGCCACTATATCAAGTATAAATGTAAGCTTTCTTATTTAAACGGGATTGGTGTGTTATTTTGTACAATAATTAAAATATAAAAAAGGAAGTTTTATTACAATAATTTTATTACATATTTTATACACAGCCCAAGACAATTCTTTCTCATTCAGTGCAGCCCAGAAAAACCAAAAGGTTGGACACCCATGAACTAAAACTTACTAATAAAACTACAGATAATATGTAATAGCTTGGCAAGGCCATTACCAATCTTGAAGTGTTTGATAACTTGATTAAGTAGCCCAATGAAACAAATTTTAAGCTGTTATTTCTAATAGTCCTCTTTGGGATGGCTGTTGGAATTATTATTTATATTTTTAAGGTAGGAAGAATATTTACTAAAGTACCCATTAAATAAAAGGCAAAATCTCATTTATCACTTCACGTTATTAAAAACTGTAAAATACTGACAAAAGAATTCTATGAAATAAAATGGTATTATGTCAAAAATGGGTAATGAAAAACATCTAGATTATCTTTTATGGCATGCTAAATTTATTTTAAGGTAATCATTTAGATTTATTTACAGAATCACTAATTTAGATATTTAAAAGGTAGGTCCTATATTAATCTTAGCAAAAACTTATCAAAAAGGTACTTAAGGATGTGCAAAATACTCAAATCTTTCTGTTAATTGAAAAGTATTAAGTAAGGCTGCATTAAAAATATTTAGTTTAAGTGCTATACTGAAACACAAGACATATTCATTACTAGATAAACCCAATTGAGATAAAATTCTTTTAAAGAATAAACTTTAAAAATTATATCAGATCCCATCAATGAATACAATTTGGGTAAATCATTTACCTCCATAAGGATTAAAAGTAAAATGAGTGTTATTAAGTTCTTTCACTAAGCAATCTAGGAATAAAAATGTATTTTAGAAAAATACACTATAAATTGTGAACTAGAACATTGAAATTTTGCTTCCATGTTAGAATCATTGTTTTAAAAATAGGTGCTTTATACATGAAGTCTGTTGCACAGCCTTGATATAAATTTTCTAAAGATTATCATGTTAAAACTGTAGTATTAGAATTTTATTTTTAATAAAAATAGTAAGACAAATCTCATTGAAGTTCCATGTCACAGGTCAGTCACAAAGAACTCTGGGCTAACATCCACATTCCCACCTCACCTAACCAGTGAATGGAAATAACTGAGGCCTGTACTCGTGACTCTTCTAATTTAGCCATCCTGGGAACAGCTTGTAAAGCAAACTAGTATAGGTCAAAACATGGGCGAGGCTGAGCTAATCAGAAACCGACAGCCACAGCATAAACAAGTTAAACTGTAAGGTTCCAAAGACTCCACCGCTGTGCTCACAGGCATTCTGAGAGTCCTGGTAAGATACTCACTCACCTTGAATCAGGGTGAATCATTCTTCCATAAAGATTTGACTTGAAGGCAAATGACAAAAGGGCGTAAAAGTTGTTCACAATACTAGTTAATACATAACTTATAAAGACAGACATGTTTTAAATCCTAGTGAACACATTTGACATACCACTGTTTTTTTATTTTGTTCAAGTTTTCTACTGGATGATCTAACCCACAAAAACAAGTATATTTTTCTTACAAAGTAAGGAAATAACAGAAAATGTTCCAAGTTCCTTCATGCAAAATTTCATTTCACTCAAATAAGAACTCTGTAAAGTAAGTTTTATTTAGTTCCATTTGTAGATCAACAAACCAATGACTAGAAAGGGCTTAATCACTGCATTATTAAATAAAATTTATTGTGACAATACTAAAAAACAGTACCATACAGGCAGTACCATATGCATAGCCAAAGTTCCAGACCAGTTTTCTCTTACATAGTACAGTGAGCTTTCTCAAAATATATACACCTTATATCTGTTAGAAAAACTTGCTTGTGTTAACTGACTGAAGTATTCAAATACTGCACTGGTCAACTTCCTATTCTTCCTCCCTCTAAAACTTTTTAAAAATAAAATATTAGCATTCTTTTGTTTAAAAACAGTTTTTTGGTGGATCACTAAAAAGTCCACAATTCAACTAAAGCAATTAACTTGACCTTCATTCCATAACTTGGCAGGCCAACACTTAGAAAAATAAAAACCAAGTAAATAGCTGTCAGTACAACAAAATTAGTGTTTAGCTTTTAAAACACTAGAATTTTTGTTGCATAGTTTGTTTCTTGAAGAGATTTCTCCAATTATATTCACTAAGAGGATCACTTCAAGTAAGAGTCAGCATGCTTAAAACTTGCTAAAATGTGAAAAATTACAGAGCAGAGATTAAAATATT